GCTAATTTTATTAGGCTTCATTTTATAGCTGAAGAAGGCAAAATAAAACTATTAAGTAACTTGTCTAAATTCATAGAAACTCTGAGCAACAGAATCAAAATTAGGAGTTTTATTAAGATTAAATATACAATCATATTATTTTCTACCTAAAAATGAAAAGGTTTTATAACATAGTTTGTACCATTTTTCTAATTTTTTGTAAGACTTTATAGCAGCCTTACCTTGTCTATTTGGGCTATGAAACCCTTTAGCAGAGGTGATTTCTAAGTCTTTGGGTTGGCAAGTCTGAGATGACTCATTCTGGGTGAAGGATGGAACAAGCACTTTTTCTGGAGGCTTAAGATAGCTTCCTACCACACTATTCACTAATTCAGAATTCATTATCTGTAGAGAATAAGGGTATTACATAGCATCATTCTTTCCTATTTGAAGGACAAAACATACAAAAATTCAGGTAAAACTTTAACATAATAATATAATCATATACCATGGAGTTATATCTTTATGTACTTGATTATCACAATTTCAACTATAATAAGTTCAGCAATAAAATAAAGAAAAATGACTATTACATAAGTAGTATGACCAGTTATATTGATTTTCAATAACCATATACCTTGGGGTAAGTATGATGTGGGTGATGTAAATTTGCTGGTTTCTCAGTTGCTCTTAAGTCTCACGTATGGATCACAGTCTGAGCATCTCTCCACAAACAATGTGACTCTAGGGTTTAAAGAGAAAGTACATATTCTAAAAGACAACAGAGTGTTTAAACATAAGCCAACAATATAATCCAATTCTCTAATGTTGACTGTTGGATATTAGTATACGTACACATATTGGAATTTTCAAGGGCAATTTTGAATATGTGAAATTTCTGAATCTAACCCTTGAATAAAACACATCTCTACTTAATGCACAAGCATTTTAATCATCTAAAATGTTTTTATGTTTAAAAGCAGGAGAAAATAGAATATTTTCCAATTTCATCATGTCTAGTGGAATTGTTCCCACAAGAGATGTAAAGATAGATTCTATAGTTTGGGTGAGAAAAAAATCTAATATTTTTACATTTATGTCATAATTAAAATTTCAGCAGTAGGAATTCTTAGAATTAAAATGGCAGTTTTCTTTTTAGGATTTAATCATTTTAATGGGGCTATTTTACTTTAAATAGCATTTGTCAAGGGTCACATATATACGACATAGAAAGTACCTATCAATTTACTGATTTACTGACTTGATTTATTTGGTGCCGTATTAGGGGAGGAATAACACAATATGATAGAGTAGCTAGAAAGCACTGGTATCACAGAATTTGGCTATCTCGATAGCCCTTGTTTTTGAACTACAAATCTTAGGAGACTGTATTGGGTCCCGGATAATATAAAGTGTGGATTTGTGTTCAGTAAATCAGCTTATTGAGTAAAAAAAAAAAAAAAACGGAAGTGGGAATAAAAGACACAAAAGCTCCATCAACATATAAAAATTATAAACAAAAGAAAGACAAAAAACAAGCAGAAGTATTTGCAATGAAGGAAAAAGGGTTAATATTATTAATATACAACCAGATTTTATAAATGAGAAGAAAAGTACAAACACCATAATAGAAAAATGGTAAATGATTATAAACTATCAATTCACAAATGTGGCCAATAAATAGTAAATATTAATAATAATTAATGAAAAGCAGCTATATCCCAATTTAACGTAAAGACTGTATTCTCAATTCAAATTCTGTATCTGCCACTTACTATCTTTCTGACTTGCAGAAAAACTTTTTACCTCTCTGGGTCTCAATTTTTTTCTCTAGGTAATTGAGATAATAATATCTTATGGAGGCACTATAATTAGATAAAATTTGATAATTTATATAAGGTACTTAACACAATTTATGTCTACCCAGTACAGTTATCCTCCCATATCCACAGTTTCACTTTCCATGGTTTCAGTTATCTGTGGTCAACTATGGTCTGAAAATATTAAATTAAAGGTCAAAAACTTGTAAGTTCAGAATTGCACGGCATTTTGAGTAGTCTGATGAAGTGGTGCACTCTCCAGCTCCGTCTTGCCTGGGTTGTGAATCTTTTGTCTAGTATCCATGATGTAGACGCCACACATGTGGAAGTCACCTAGAGGCCATCTTGGTTATCAGACTGGCTGTACTTTATGTTGTAGGGCCTGTTGTCAAGTAACCCTGATTTTACTTCATAATGGCCCCCAAGCACAAGAGTAGTGATGCTGGCAATTCAGATATGCCAAACAGAAACTGTAAAGTACTTCTTGTAAGTGAAAAGGTGAAAGATCTTGACTTAATAAAAAAGAAAAAAATCATACATTGAAGTTGCAGTGATCTAAAGTAAGAATGAATCTTCCATCCTGCGTTCATAGTATATATAGGATTCAGGGCTATCTGCAGATTCAGGCATCTGAAGATCTTGGAACATATCTCCCACAGACAAGGGGGGAACGACTATACCCACTTTCTGTAATATGTGCTCAATAAAAGGCTGCCATACTTATTTTGAAAGGAAACAAGGAAATACCATTTTTTGTAAGTTCTTTTAAATGATAATACTTGATGTTGGCAAGAAAGCATGCATATACTGCTGGTAGGAATATAAACTGATAGCACATTTCTGGAAAGCAATTGAACCAGTGTGTATCAAGGGTCTCAAAAGTCCATGTTCTTGGATCAGTAATTATTGTAAGAATCTATATTAAAAATAATCAAAGATGATACAAAGATTATTAGAAAGATCACTACTTTATCATTATTTGTAAAATCAAAGTATTTGTCCTGATTTCTCCCTTTCACAATGCATGTTGAATTCATCAAGAAATAAGCTAGCTCTATCTTCAAAATGTATCTAATATATGACCAGTTGGCATAGGCCACCATCTCTATGCTGGATTGTTGTAAAAGCTTCTCTCCTAGTTCCTCCACAATCCTTCACATAGCAATCAGAATGAGTCTTTTAATATTGTGTCATCCCATGTCATTCTTCTGTTCAAAGTGTCCCAATGGCTTCCTATCTCAGAAAAAAAGATCAAAGTCCTTACAATGATTAACAAGCCATGTATTAACTGGGTCTCCCACTTTTCAACTCTCTGAATCTCCTTCAATCTCCCTCTCCTTCAGTCCTCTCCAGACCCATACTGTTTTCCCTTCTGTTCCCTTAATACCTCAAACATGATCCTGCCTTGGGAATTTTTACCTCTGGTTCCCACTGCCTGAAATGCTTTCTCTTCAGATTATTTGCATAGCCTATTCTTTCTTTCTTTCTTTTTTTTCTGAGACAGAATCTCACTATGTCGCCCTTGGTACAGTGCCTTCATGTCACAGCTCACAGCAACCTCAAACTCTTGGGGTTAAGTGATTCTCTTGCCTCAGTCTCCCAAGTACCTGGGACTACACATGCCCACAACAGCACTAGGCTACTTTTGTTGTTGTTGTAGTTGTCATTGTCGCTTAGCAGGCCTGGGCCTGGTTCAAACCCGCCAGCCCCGGTGTATGTGGCCCTAGCCACTGGCTACGGGTGCTGAGCCCATGGCCTATTCTTTCATTTCAGGTCTCTGCTTAAATGTGACCTGCTCTGCACCTGCTCACCATTCTTTATAAAACACTAATCCTGTATCCCTGCTCAGTACTTTCTATCCCCCTTCCTCCACTAATTTAGAATCATTTTTAAAATTATTTCATCATTCACTGTATCTCAACTGGAGTAATAAAATTCAGCCCATCCTCTGATTGATTGGCAAAATGTACATATTGATTAGAAATGACGCAATCATATATTCAATGATTGTTCATTTTTGATTAAATTTCAGTGAACTTGACTGGATACTGATAAGACAGCTTAATACCAATTTAGGAGATGACTTTAGCATACATCTGGTTACAAAGATTAGCAGATTTTTTTCCTTAATAACTTAAAAGAATTAATTTTTTTAATGACTTGCCATATATGAAATACATATGTATTTTTAAGAAATTATATTAATAACCAAAAAAAAAATTCTATGTAGCTATACCTAGCTTAAGAAATAGGGTTTCACTCTCATACTGTGGAAGCTCTCTGTGTCTTTTATAACTATTGTCTTGAATTTTTGTGCTACTCATTCTAATGCCTTCTAAGCCTTATCATATTTGTATGTATTCTTAACAATGTAGTTTTTAATACTGATGTTTTTTAAACTTTCTATAAATGGAATACTTTTTTATTCAAAGTATCTTAAGATTTATGGTGTACGTGAAGTTGTATGGCATTCATTTTCACTATATAGCATTCCATGGCACAAAACCCAGATCTCAGAATGCTTTCACTCCAGCATTCTTTGGTGTTGTCTTCAGTTGGGACAGTAGGGTGACCTAATTGGATGCTAGACTCATGATGCTATGGTTGTCTGGGATTTTTTGTTCTATCTTGATTTTAACAACACAGATTAGATAATATTGTTCTTAATTTATAAAGTCAGAGTTTGTTTTTAGGTTTGCCTACGAATTTTCTTTGCTTGCTGTGATGGACATTATGATCCACTACCCGTATTCCCTTTTAGAATTGTGGAATTTTCCCACAGCAGCTGAGAAAGCTGCTTGAGGGCTGTCTTTGACTGTCAGTCCTCATTGGGACTAAAATATTCTTGAGTATTTAGTAGTTAGTCCATTTGCCTAAAGAATATTGCTTTATCCAAGGTCACACATCTTTCCGGGGGCAGCCCGCATCCAATTAGGTCACCCTACTGTCCCAACTGAAGACAACACCAAAGAATCACCCCAGTCCCACAGCTGCCTGCGGGATAAGTAAAACCTTTGTTGAGTCTTCATTGCAGCTTAACTTCTCCCTCTGCCAGCTACTGCTTCCTTCCTTCCCTTGCATATGGGTTGATCCCAAGAAGAAATGTGCACACCGATCTGTCTTAGAATCTGCTTCCCAGGAAACCCAACTTTAATAATCACCACTTTCTTCCTAGATTTTCTTTCTGAGATTATGTCCCTTCTTCATAAAGTATATATTTCAGAGGCTCTTTTGGTGAGTGTCTGGAGTTTTTTTTTCCTTAGTTTTTATGTGCCTTAACATGTTTCTTTTTCACTCTCTTGAAAGATACTTTTGCTAAATATGTAGTTGTGGGTTGACATTTGTTTTCCCTCAGCATCATGAAAATATTTTATCTTCTAGCTTCCGCTGTTGCTGTCCAAAGTTAGCTTTCAGTCTATCATTCTTTATAGGTAATCTGCCTCTTCTCTCTGACAAAAAGCTCATTTCTCTATATTTGTATTGTTGTGGTTTTACTACAATGTGTTTAAATGTAGGTATTTTATTAATCCTACTAAGAATATATTGGGTTTCCTAAATCTAGAGACCCATCTATGTTAGAAAATTCTTAGCTATTACATTTTTGAATATTGCTTCCCTCTTCTTACTCTCTTCTCTGGTTCTTTATGCCAACAGGACATATGTTGAATAACTTCCAGGTCTCTTAATCTTTCATATTCATCTCTCTCTCTCTCTTTTTTTTTTTTTTTGAGACAGAGTCTCACTTTGTCACCCTGGGTAGAGTGCCATGGCGTCATAGCTCACAGCAACCTCAAACTCTTGGGCTTAAGTAATCCTTTTGCCTCAGCCTCCCAAGTAACTGGAACTACAGGTGCCTGCCACAATGCCCGGCTATTTTTTAGAGATGGGTTCTTGTACTTGCTCAGGCTGGTCTTGAATTCCTGA